TGGAATATTCTGTCTGTGTGCATGTCTGCAGCCAGAAGAGGGCACCAGACCTCTTTACAGATGGTTGTGAGCCACCATGTGGTTGCCGGGAATTGAACTCAGGACCTTTGGAAGAGCAGGCAATGCTCTTAACCACTGAGCCATCTCTCCAGCCCGGGATGCCATATGTTAATGTGTCACATAATATAATAAAAAACTCCTTAAATATATAAAATGAATTGTTATACCCCTGTTGTTCCCAGCTTCATGAATAGTGAAACATTTTGGATCTTTTCACTGTCAGAGCATAAAGAAACATGGCTATTTGATGTTGTTGTAAGAGGAATCTGTTTAGAAGTCCTCAGTGCTTTTCCCTTTCTTCTCTTTTAGTAAAATCTGTTGTTTTCAATTGTTGACTGATTGTAGCAAGATGTTGTCTTGATTTTTTTTAAAAATAACAATTTATGTTAGTAATCTGATTTTGAGATGAAAGAAGTCATCAAAAATATCTTTCTCTTGTCACCATTGCAAATATCTGTGTCACAATTAGGGCAAGGTACTTACCATCTCTGGCCATTTGATAAGATACTTTAAGGTGAGCAAAGAGTTCTGGCTTACTGGGTCTTACCTCTCTCCCCTCTTTCTGTACTTCTCTTTCTTTGTCACCTTCTTTCTGACACTTCAACTCATTAAAATGGGTAGAATAAAACTTACTGTTAATTTAAAAATCAAGTTGTAAAAAGAAAATAACCAATTTGAATTATGTACCTTAACAGTCAGTCAACCTTTGTCATATCTACCTTTCAAGAGATTCTAATAACTGGCCAGGTAGTGTCGGCGCACACCTTTAATTCCAGCGCTTGGGAGCCAGAGACAGGTGGATCTCTGAGTTTGAAGCCAGCCTGGTCTACAGAGTGAGTTCCAGACACTCAGGGCTACACAAAGAAACCCTGTGTTGAAAAACAAAACAATAAAAGAATAAGAATATTCTAATGACTCATTTAGAGATGTCTTAGCTTTTATATGAACTTTACACAAATGCCTTTATTGACTACAGTAAAACAATTTCATGATAAAACATTGAAATGACTCAGTTGTATATTTTGTGCCTGTAAACACAAGCCCAGGACTTTCACCTATGAGTACCATATTTGTTTGGGTTTATAAATGAGTCTATAACTGATTATTCTTTTAGAAGCTTCTGATTTTATTAGTAGAAATCATAAATGAATTCAGACCTAGCATTGTGATTTTTGTTGGTAGGGGTTAATAGGAAACAATGCAGACTTCTGCTGTGGAGGTCATTTGGTAGGAAATAAGTTGTAGTACTTCATTGGTTACTGTTGCAGTAGTATAGGGTTCTTCCTTAAAATTGTGGTTTTATTTGGGCATTATACCTTCAGTTTTAGAAATATTGTAACTAGTAGAATAAACTGTAGGTTTGCCACTGTAGAGTCACTGATAATGAAGGAAGCTAAAAAGTTTCCATGCTCTTGTGCACCATTTAAAAGTATTTACATCCTTTGGACCATGCAGTGTACTCCGTATCTACTGTTAGAAGAATATTGAGAAGTGTTAGCGGGACTCATACTTAAAAGCATTCTTAAGAGAGAGTAATGAATCTGACACAAGGTTAGACAATCTTTCTGTAGGAATCCATTTGTAGAACTATGTTTTTAAATAATGCATCACAAGACTTCAAAAATTAACAAACCTGCTTCTCCATACTTAGTGGAAATGAACTTGGTGACAGAAACTTGGATTTAGTATCAAGTATGTGTATTTATTGTTATCCAGGTTTCTATTTTTTTTTTGCTTTTGACCGTATCAAATAGTTATGAAATAGTAAGGCAAATCAAATGACCATGGTTATATAGCAGTCTATGAGCTAGTTGCCTTAAAGAACAAGAGATCAATAAATATGAAATACATTCTATTTATTTTATATTTGTAGTTTTAAAATTTTGGCTCCAAAAAGAAATATTGAATGAATGAACTTCAAGGTAACTGTTTCTAGTGGTGGTTATTTTACTGATTTTGATTGTTTAGAAGCAAATAATTTCCTATTTGGTCACACTCAGTATACTTTCAGCTTATTCAATTTTGTTATTACATAAGAGGTCCAACTTTTTTAGCTCCTAATAAGTTATCAAAGTTTCTTTTATTAAAAAATTTTTTAAGCTAGGCGGTGGTAGTCCACGCGTTTAATCCCAGCACTCAGGAGGCAGAGGCAGGTGGATCTCTGTGAATTTGAGGCCAGCCTGGTCTACAAGAGCTAGTTCTAGAACTGGCTCAAGCAACACAGAGAAACCCTGTCTCCAAAAAACAAACAAACAAAAAAATTAAAAAAAATTTTTTTTTTAATTGCTGGGTGGGAGTACTTGGGAGGCAGAGGCTAGCAGATCTCTGTGAATTCAAGGCCATTTGGTCTGCAGAGCAAGTTCCAGGACAGGCTCCAAAGCTACACAGAGAAACCCTGCCTTGAAAAACAAACAAAAGGAAGTTTTTATTGCAATTGTTCCCAGATGTCGTTCTTGTAGCTTTCCAAATGAAAAAGTACTGTGTATTTATTTTGTTTTCTATGATCATATACATGTTCATTAGTAAGATCCTTGATTGTTTATAAGAAGCTGTGGTTACTGATTCCTTTGTTGAGTGAATTCCTTTACTTTTTCTTGTACTTTTTTGCACAGAATCTGATGACTGTTTATTTAAATAATGTTCACTTAATTACAAAAAAAGCAACAAAACCAAGTTATGAAAATTTCTGGAGTCTTACAAGTTCACTCAAATGCTGCTTTCTTTTGGTTGTTATTGATAATTTTTTAAAGAACCCCCTTTCAAATTATATTTGTTTTCCCTTATCCCATTTTACTACTAGAAAATGTTATGATGAAAGACCCTCCGGACTTACTGGACAGGCAGAAATGCCTGAATGCCTTGGCTTCTCTGCGACATGCCAAATGGTTTCAGGTTGGCGCTTTATTTCTTCCTTACTGTTCTGTGTCAGTTTTATTTGGAACACCTTCCACTTAGTGTTTTCTGTATGCTGTGTGAAATGGAGATACTTTGTAGCTCATAGAGTTATTGTTGGAATGAATCAGTTCCTTTGGATAAAATTCCTTAGAATAGCTTTCATTTTGTATGCGTGTGTGCGTGTATGTGCATAGGTCAGAGGTCTACAACAGTGTTACTTTTCAGAAGCATTTAATTTTTGAGAAAGAGTCTCTTAACTGCAATCTAGAACTCAACAAGTAGGCTAGGCTTACTGGCCAGCAAGCCCCCGGGTCTTCGAGTGCTGTTTCCCTGAGATTCTAAGTGTGTGCCACCACACCTGGCTTTTAAAACATAGGCTCTAAGGGTTGAACTCAATCCTCCATGCTTGCAAAGGAAGCACTTTACCCACCGAGCTGTCCTCCATGATGTTTTGTTATCAAGGAATTCTTTTTGATTTACTATTGTAAGTAGTAGATGGTGGCTTATAAAATAAAAACACAGAAAAGCTGAAAGTTAAGATGGTGCCTGGAATATAGTTGCCATGAGTTCACAAAAAGACTTTTTATGTTATATTCCTTTTACTTAAAAACCTGCCTTTCTGAACCATAACTTGCTAATTTTCATAATTTGATTTTTCTTGGTTTGCTTGATAACTAGTAAATTATTTGCTAATTGGTATTCATTTAAAAAAATTATCCAAGACCAGTGTGTTTCAAATGAGGAATGGATTTCTACAGGGATATTGGAATCATTTTGTTTGTTTTAGGCAAGGGCAAATGGATTAAAATCATGTGTAATTGTCCTCCGCATTCTGCGTGATTTGTGCAACAGAGTACCCACATGGGCGCCGTTGAAAGGATGGGTGAGTACTTAAATCTGAAGCTATAGCAGAGCTATATATTCTAGAAATGATGTTACTATAGAATGACGACTATCTTCTGAGTGTAGTTAAGACATCTATTTTCTTTTTTTGCCCTAGAATTAATTATGCAGTTTTATGAATTCTTTTATGCATATAACTTCTCTTTTGTCATTTTTGTCATATATATGTATATATATATAAATTTGAAATCTCATATGTATGTATGTATGTATGTATGTATGTATGTTTATTAAGATCCCCCTGATCTTTATAAAGGTCTTATAAATTTTAGAAATAAGTCCTGTTCCACTTGAACTCTGGACTGATCATTAATCACTCATGGATCACTTGCTGCCCATGATAGCCTTCTTGACTGGTCCATTGCTGCAATGTTTTGTTACATTTCTGTGGCGATTATCTGATTGACTGGTGTCTTTTCTAATTCTCATGAAATATAGATACAGATCCAATATGTTAGGTTAAATGCAATGTTATAATATGTGTAATAAAGTATGTCTGTAATTAGGTTAAGTGCAGTGTTTGCTTGATATTAATTACTAATTAGGACATATAACATATATTGTAACATTGACTTAATTTGAAGATTATTATGCCTGATCCACTAAGGACTACAATTTAAAAATTTATGAAAATAATTTAAAATGGTAAGGACTCATTTATAAAATAAGGAGCGATTATGAACATTTGTGTAACAAACACAGAGGTGTGGTTCTTGGTTTATTCTAATTGTTGCTCTTGGAACAGGCTATTCAAATGAATTTAACTTTTATAGTTGAGTGTCCCTAACTTAAGTGGGATTTAGATAGACCAGTTGGTACCTTGGTTATTTATTAGCTATTATTCATGTAAAAGCTTGTTAAATGAATCATATGTATGTAACTTTATTTTTTGTAACTAAAATTCAAAGTTTTTGTCTCAAATATTTTTTGAAAATAGCTAAAAATACTTGAATTAGAAAATGGTTGGATTAAAGTAGATAATCATGGAGGAAGAGTTAAATGGACCTTAAATATTCAGTTGTCTATACTTTTTGGCTTCCCTTTTAGATAGAAATATCAGCTCACATTTAACTGGAATCCTTTTAACACTTGGTGCATGTACTAATTTGTAATTTAATATCTTCTAGCCACTAGAGCTTATATGTGAAAAGTCTATAGGTACTTGTAATAGACCTTTGGGCGCTGGGGAGGCCTTGAGACGAGTAATGGAGTGTTTGGCATCTGGAATACTACTTCCTGGTAAGGGTTTCAAACTCTCAAGGCAGAAGAATAAGAAAAAAAAACCTTAATTTTAGTTAATTTATCTAAACATATACTAAATGTTTGTCCTCTGAAGAGGAAAATGATGTGTAGGAATTGTGTTCTTTAGAATTTTAGCAGCTACAATGTTCTAATTTTTGTTTTATATGTACTAACATAAAGAGTACTAATAGATACTGTGTCTACTATGCATTTGCTTCACCAAGAAGTCTGAATTTGAAATGTAAATGCTTATTTGATAAGAATGAAGTTCATTTTGATTGCAAGTCTAGTCATAAATTTGGAAAAGTTGAGTATGTGATCCATTTACAGATTAGGTATATTCATCATGTTGTAAATTTTGGAGTAAGGCTCATTTTGGTATTAGTTGACTTACAGTAAAAAATAGGCATAGTTAGGTGCTAATACTGCAAATGACAGATTGTCCTTAATACTCCACTTCTTTGAGCAGACTTTTAACTTAGTTCTTCAGTTTTTTTCCTTCTCTCTTTTGTTACTTTGATGTTTTAAACTCATTTCTAAATTTTTATTTTTTCTTGCCTTTGCCTTAGGGGGTCCTGGCCTTCATGATCCTTGTGAGCGAGACCCAACAGATGCTCTGAGCTATATGACCACTCAGCAAAAAGAAGAAATCACTCATAGTGCACAGGTATGAGACTGGTATCACTAATTGCTTAGAAGGGATACCATATCTTCCATTTCTGAATTGTTCTGTGTGGTTACTTTTCTTGTATGTTTAAATTTGGGAATTCTACCAGTATAATATAATATCAGTATGTAAAGAATTTGAGTTAAATGTCATATAAGTGAGAATGGTTATTGATATTTTATTAAATATAATGTTTTATTCTTTAGCATGCACTTAGACTATCAGCCTTTGGCCAGATTTATAAAGTGTTGGAAATGGACCCCCTTCCATCCAGTAAGCCTTTTCAGAAGTATTCCTGGTCAGTTAGTGATAAAGAAGGTGAGTATGAAAGGTTTTTTGTTTGTTTTTGTTTCTCATTAGAGTTGAGGGTTAACATTGATAGTAGTGTGTGTGTCAATCCACCCTCGACCAGCAAGGAAAAACGCAATACCCGGAGCTCTTCTTGCAGCAGTTTTCAGGACTTTATTCACAGCAATCTCTCTCCTCCTTCTCCTTCTCCTTCTCCTTCTCCTTCTCCTTCTCCTTCTCCTTCTCCTTCTCCTTCTCCTTCTCCTTCTCCTTCTCCTTCTCCTTCTCCT